TTCATTATTGAAATGTACATTTTTATTTCTCCTGGATTCACATACAGAGGTGGCATAGAATCTCCACATTATCTCCATACTATCTTATCTGTTATTACCTGTTTTGATGGCCGTTCATCCTCTTCTTCTCCTCCGTCTTCCTCCTGAGTGTTTTAGTCTTATGTCTTCACTCTTTATGAATTTCAACTGCTTGCCAGAGTTCAACTGTCCTCCGCGTGCACGCATGGCATCATTAATTAACGCAGATAAATTAATTAATGTTTGTGTTGCCCTCTGCTTTTCATTTCATCTTAGTTTATTTATTTTATGATATTCCATCCTCGTGTGGATAAACATTGTTTGCTAAATGTCTTGAGAACATACTGAATTGTATTTTTAAAATCAATTAAAAAAAACAATGATTAAAATACATAAATAAAGGTCAGCATTGTTTGCTCTTTAAAGCTTTTTGTAACCAAATCTTTCCCCCAAAGTTACACCACAACATCACTGAACGATCAGCCATGGGTCCTGTAATATTATTTGGCTGTAAACATGATTCTTGTGCAGGCCTATATGCAATATGAGTGAAATAACGAGCACAGTGAATAAATGTTCACTAATGAGTAAATGGCCACAACAAAACTAAGTGAACCGAACATGTCCCCTCCCGTAGAGTCACAGTTATTTCTCACAATTTCTAGTATTTGTACAGGCTTTGCATTTTTTTACATCAAGAGTATTGTATTAGCAATTAATTTAATTTTAAAGCGGATTGTTTTAAACATGACAGCATTAATTAAAAGTTTCTTAATCCATAAGATCCATTAAGACATAGGCCTACCTGTTTAAATGAATTGTGCATCATAACAGCATTTTGAGATTTGAGAAGTGCATCTCCTGTGATTCATCAGAGCCACCGCAGAGAAGCTCAAATTCATGCATGACAACCTCTACTTAATGCGTGTATGACTGCGATCAACTTATGGGATAATTATTCCTTCACGAATAAATCTCTAAATGAGGTGGTGTCTATTTTTATAGATTATGCAACATTTGAATTATTTTCAAAATAATATTGAAGTGATTATAAGTAGCAGTGGCTGGGACAGACTTTCAGATGCCATCGAATCCTGATTAGGTGAAATAAGCCTGATCCAGAGCAGGTTTGAGCTGAGTTCTGTTGCTATCACAGCAACTCTAGGAAGAGCTTCAAAGAACTTAACAATCCTGGATCATCCAGCGTAAGAAGAACAGGCCCCTGATCAAACTACTGAGCCAGCCAAGATCTTCAGGAGCACTTGATGATTACAGATGGGTGTGTTGGATCAGGATCAGAACTTCCTGCAGAGTTTAGCTCCAACCGTAGGTAAATACACCTGAACTAGTTAATCAAGGTCTTCAGGAGTGGCTGCTGGAAGCTTCTGAGCAGGTGTGTGGGAGCAGACTGGAGCTGTTACGTGATATTGCCTCATCAGGGCTGTACTCAAAAACTGCTATTTTTATGATCATTTTTATTTTTTTCATGATATACATGTATTCAGGCAATGTCAGGCAGAATATGTCTATATCTATATATAGCTACAATGCTTACAGGTCATTTCTATCCCTGATCAGTGATGTGATTACAGTTAAGTGGTCTTATAGAGTGGCAAAATGCTGTCTGAGGTTTTTCAGGATCTGCTGAGTGTCCACATGCTCAGGAAAAGCGTCCTCTGATTTCTGAGCAGCCATGTAACTACTCTGAAGATCGCCAACCTTCAAGTCACAAAGAAAGGTCAGTCAAAATAAAATAATAAAATACTGTCATTAAAACAATAATAGAATAGCACACAGGGTTGAGTCATACCTTATCCGAGAGCGTGGCAAAGTTAAAATGTGGCTCATACATGTGAGGAGACAGTGAAGCAGCAGTCTGCAGAAAAGCTTTCGCCTGTGCCAAAACAAAAGTCTTTCATGAGTCCAGTTGCCCATCCTGATCCTGATCCTGATCCTGATGCTAAAGGCACATTTGCATGTCTTTCTAGTGAATGTATTACAGGGTCACTGCTTGCACTGTGTGAGTGCCACTACTGGCGGAAGTCATGCAATGAATTAAACTGGAACATCCTCAACTCTTGCTATGCAGCGGATTTATTATTTACATTTTCTCCCCTTATGAATTT